AAAATTGCTTCATTTCAGCTCAGCTCATATTATGTAGTAGAAACTGAATGCAATGCAAAAGGATTCTGTGGTGATTTTAAAAGAACTTAAGGCTTTGCAAGAGAACAGATGGCTGAATTTGAATTGGGATTAATTATAAACTTAGGAAATAGAGGCGGGAAATCTCCAATCAGAGGGCGAGAGAGGTAGATCTTCCACTTAATTCCATCCCTTTCCTCTACACCGCCCCCCCCCGATACTTCTGGGAAGTTCCTTTGCCCCTTAAAAAAAGGCAGCAATAGAAATTTCCAGCAATCTCTTGCATGCCTTTCCAGGAATGGGAGAGATGTCCCCTAATAAAAGGAGCAAGTGTGCACATGCCTGACTTCATCATCTCCCTCTCAAGCAAGAGTTGAGGCATTCTTCCTCTTAGTCAACAATGCCCCAACAGTCTTTTTCTAGGCATTAGATAATTATTTTTTAAAAGCTGCTCTTTATTAAAAAAAAAAAAAAGTAAGAACCTATAATACAAGTAATTAGTATTTGAATGTGGAACTCAATTAATAGATTGTTGTTGCCGTTTGGGATCTATAGCCCTTCATAGAAAAAAGATCTGCAATTCCTGCCATTAACACAGTCAAATTGCTATTTCCTGATGCTGTTCTAAGCCTCTGATCAATGTTTAAAGCATTGAAGAGACGGGACTACAGCTTAGCATGCCAGAACAGTGTCTCACATGATGTATTTCACAGCAGCTCAAGATAAAGGATCTGAACTTGGACAAAGACGTTCTTCAGACAAAGTCCCTAGAAAGGTAAGGGTTGGAGGTGCAAATGACTGGTTTAGTAGAGGTCCTCTTCCCCCATCTCCAACACAGTTCTATTCATGTTATGAGTTCTAGATTTGATTTCTTTCTACAAAGGCTTGAAATCTAGAATAAGGGATTAGATAAATTTATCCCTGACACATGTTTAGGAAACTTGCTTTACAGATATATAGCATCACTTGATACCTTCTCATCCCCAAGTTCTTGCTTTTGACTTTGCAATTCAAGTTTTTTCAACCTTTTGGGGGATGGCTATTCATTTAGGTACAGTAGTACTGTAGATGATGAGCATTTTTTAAGAAACTGTTGTTTGTCACCTAATCATAGCCTTTCCTTAAGAGTGGATAGAATAAAAAATCAAACAAAAGCCAAAGCCTATTGGGCAGTCCAGTAAACAAGGAAGAGAGGTCAACCTGAAACAGGTCAATTGAGTCTACTCCTACATTCTCAGCAATTTCATATTGTGTTTAAAGTCAGAAACCAGATTATTTCCCAAGTATGCCTAAGGCTCAGGAGCAGAACTCTGGTTTGAATGGTTTCCTCTCATCGGTCTCAAAAGTTGGAGCCATCCATACGCTTCCTCCCCACCCCCATTGTTTGTCTTTTGCTCTAAAAAATCTTTCTGAGGAAATACCCATTCATGTCTTTTTTCTGCTCTAAAGAAACATAAGCATTAGGCAGCATTTATGATGAGTTTTAGTTTGTACCAAAGGGCTGGGTTATAGAAAAAAGTCCACAATGAAAATTTAAAAATCTATTTTCACTAAAATATTTTCCAGGACACAAGTTACACAATACATACTACAAAAGTGCAGGGATTGGAACGGCTGATTTTAATTTCTGTATGTATTTGTTAAACACTATTTTCTTAATCAAATTTTGAAAGAGCTTATAAAAATCAGCTAGAAAGGTATTGTTCCATATCTCTGGGTCATTTTGTTATGCTAATGTCTCTGTCTGCAACTTCTTGTGGGATTTTTATTCCTGAAGTATGCAACAGCATTTTCAAAATACATGCTTTTCACATATAGTATAAAAGATCTGGATTTTGCTTCCTCTGTTTTTTTTCAGAAAAACAAACAAACCCCTTCAAACAGGTGTTGTTCTCCTGTTGACCATATTGATATGAAGTCCCTCTTTGAACTCCTTTTGAAGGAAATTGTGGACTTGAAGAAAGCCAGCATCTTGTTCCATATTGTAACTTGCTGCTGTTGTGACCTTCAAGGGTTCCCTGGAGAGGGTGTACATGGAGATTTCATTCATAGGAAGAGAACCTGCCATTTTCATACCAACTGAAGAAATGTCCCTGGATGGAGAAGGTTCTGTTGATCGAGAACTGGATCTGGACCTCCTTCTCCTGTATCTGTAACTTGGCATCCTTGCGTAAGGGGAAGCAGAAGAAGTCTTAAGGAACTGCTTCTTGGTCTTAAACCTCAGCTCTTTGTTTTTGTCAATATAAATGTTCACAGCTAGGACACCAACTGTTTCTGCCACAATAAAAGACAAGGCTCCAAAATAAAAAGACCAGCCATAACTGTATTGGTTCTTTTTATCCTCATCCCGCTTGTCACTAGGATCACCTGCATTGCTGGATATGTAGACAATAATTCCTATTATGTTACTTAATCCTGGAAAGAAAATAGCGGGGGAAGTCTGGTTAGGAGAATAGCTCCAGAAGACAATTAACATGATAATTTTCTTGCCACATCAACTTGCATCTTACCCCTAATTACTCTGCTGGCTAATAAATTTCCCCCCTGTTCTGAACATGATTTTATTTGCTTTATATTGTTGGACTGGAACCTTAACTTCAGAATCACAAAATTGCTTACAGCTGTGATTGCTTTACACAGGAAAGATGGCTTTAATTTTAAGATTTTATAACTGTACAGTATAACATTTTTATGCTTTTGTGCTGTTTTAAGTCTTTTTGTCAGATGTGACTAGTCATTGGCTGCAATCAAGTTTGTGTGTGTGTGTGTGTGTAATGAATAGTTGCCTAGACTTGAAGTACAAAACACTTGGAGGGCATCAAGTGGTTTAACTTTGCTTATGTTATCTATGTGGTTTAAGGCAATAGTTTTCAAACAAACTCTAAGAATGTTCAAGAAGAAAATCAATAGTGTAAGATAAGTCATAGATAACAACAGTTACTAAAGTATGTTCAGTCTAAGACTTGTCTTACTTAAGACAGATAAAAGATGAACCCATGGGAAGTGTCTCAAGTGAATTGTGTATGCTTACTATCTTAAATAGTTTTTAGTTCCAGTACAATATATTCTATACCACACAGAATGATCAGAGCATATCCTGTGTGATGAAGGAATACAAAAATAGTTAAAATACCTACAGTTGAAATATATCGTAATAATAGCATCTATTAAAGCCCATGTAAATTCATATGATAATTATAAGTTCAGATCTGATCCATCTGGGTAGAAACCAGGTGGGTGGCTGGTAGGAAGATGATGAATGGGAGGGGGAAGAGTGAGTGCTCTCCTATTAGAATGGTGGGAAATTAGACAAGGGATTAACTAGGTTTATTGGCCTGACCACGTTACTAGCTACACATTAGATCTAGATTTTACTTGAATCAGATAAAATGTGGTCTGGTTCTTAGGGCCATCTCCATCAGTCTTTTCTCATGGACAGATCACTGATTAACCAGAGCCACCAGTTTCAACAGGGAGGAACAGCTGATTGAGATGCCATGCTCCAGATACCTTATGGATCTGGAGGGTTTCCAGATAGTGCTGGGGAATTTCCTCAGTACTCTGGAAGACAGCTTTGTTGGGTGTGAGTTCTAGTCCCACTTATTTGGGGAATGCCAAGTTCAGAAAAGGGGGACGCTGTGGCGCAGCGGCTTAATGACGCTGAAAGTTGCCGGCCAGAAATGCTTCAGCGGTTTGAGTCCAGCCTTCACGTTAAACAGGGTGAGCTCCTGTTTCCTCCCCAG